TATTTAGGATCGTTAGCTCTTCTTGTTGCAGTGATCCTTTTACCATTATGTAATGTCCTTCTTTGTCTCTTTTGATCTTTGTTGCTTTAAAGTCTATTTTATCAGAGATGAGAATTGCAACTCCTGCCTTTTTTTGCTCTCCATTTGCTTGGTAGATCTTCCTCCATCCCTTTATTTTGAGCCTTTGTGTATCCTTGCATGTAAGATGGGTTTCCTGGATACAGCACACTGATGGGTTTTGGCTTTTTATCCAATTTGCCAGTCTGTGTCTTTTGATTGGGGCATTTAGTCCATTGACATTTAGGGATAGTATTGTTATGTGTGAATTTGATACTGTCATTTTGATGCTACCTGGCTGTTTTGTTGGTTAGTTGATGCAGCTTCTTGATTGTATTGATGCTCTTTTACCATTTGGTATGTTTTTGGAGTGGCTTGTACTGGTTGTTCCTTTATATGTGTAGAGCCTTTTTCAGGAATTCTTGTAGAGCAGGTTTGGCGGTGATGAAATCTCTGAGTGCTTGCTTGTTCACAAAAGATTTTATTTTTCCTTCACTTATGAAGCTTAGTTTGGCTGGATAGGAGATTCTGGGTTGAAAGTTCTTTTCTTTAAGGATGTTGCATATTGGCCCCCAATCTCTTCTGGCTTGTAGGGTTTCTGCTGAGAGATCTGCTGTGAGTCTAATGGGCTTCCCTTTGTGGGTAACCCGACCTTTCTCTCTGGCTGCCCTTAGCATTTTCTCTTTCATTTCAACCCTGGTGAATCTGACGATTATGTGCCTTGGGGTTGCTCTTCTTGCGGAATATCTTTGTGGTGTTCTCTGTATTTCCTGGATTTGAATATTGGTCTGCCTTGCTAAGTTGGGGAAGTTTTCCTGGATAATATGCTGAAGAGTATTTTCCAGCTTGGATTCATTCTCTTCATCACATTCAGGTACACCTATCAGACGTAGATTAGGTCTTTTCACATAGTCCCACATTTCCTGAAGATTTTGTTCATTCCTTTTTGCGCTTTTTTCTCTGTTCTTGCCTTCTCTTTTTATTTCATTGAGTTGATCTTCGACCTCTGATATCCTTTCTTCTGCTTGGTCAATTCGGCTGTTGAAGCTTGTGCATGCTTCACGAAGTTCTCGTGTTGCGTTTTTCAGCTCCATCAATTCACTTATACTCCTCTCTATGCTGTCCATTCTCGTCAGCAGTTCGTCCAATCTTTTTTCAACGTTCTTATTTTCTTTGCGTTCGGTTAGAACATGTTCTTTTAGCTCACTGTAGTTTCTTACTACCCACCTTCTGAAGTCTGATTCTGTCATTTCATCACCCTCCTTCTCCATCCGGTCTGGTTCCCTTGCTGGTGAGGAGTTGTGATCCCTTTTAGGAGGAGAGGTGTTCTGGTTTTGGGAGTTTTCATCCTTTTTGCGCTGGTTTCTTCCCATTTTTGTGGGTTTATCCACCTGTTGTCTGTCTCTGTCCCAGGGAGTTGGAGCTTTATGAGTTTCCGTTGCACTACTGCCTTTTTTGATTTTTCTTTCAGGTCTGACCCACCCAGCTATCAGCAGGCCTAGCCACTGCCTGCCCGCAGGGGCTTTGCTGAGCTGCTGTGGGCTCCGCCCAGCTGCCCTGAGCTCTTCCCTGCAGTCCTGTTTATATGGGCGTAGTTAGAACTGTCTGGGAATGGTGGCCCCGCCTCTGTTATGGGGGACTCTCTCTGTTGTGGCACGTTGCCTCGGCAACGGCAGCCTGACTCCGTAGCAGTGGAGAGTCTCAGTAATGGCGGAAGCCCCTCCCCCACCGGGCTGGGCAGTCCCGGTTCAGCTGTGCTTGGTTTGAAGGGCTCAACCCAGAGGGTTTCCAATTACTGTTTTTGTTTTCGTTGTTGTTGGGGGTGGAGGGGTGGGACCAACCGAGCCTGATCACCTGGCTCCCTGACTCAGAGTCTTTTCTTTTAAGTTGAATGACCCCGCGTTCCGGTCGCTTGTTGAAAAGGCGCCGGGATCTCCCGTGCTGCGAGTCACGGAGTCGGCTCGAACCGCGGCGCCGGCTCCTGGCGGATTTTTTGCCTAGGAATCTCCTGGCCTGACTCGCTATTTCAGATGAATGGGCAGCTCTGCCGTCTCAGGGCTCTGCTCGCCAGCTAAGAGGGCTCCCAGCCCAGTGGCTTTTGTACGGAGAACTGCAGCAACAGGGAGTGGTCACAGCAGCCGCGCGGGCGGAATCAGCCCTGCGGGGGCCAAAACAGCCGCACCGGCTGGGACTGCGACGCTGGCGACCCCTCTGCCTGGGTATCTCCTGGTCTGTGGGCAATAAGAGTTCGTCTGTAAATGCGGCGTCCACTCACCCTCTGCACTTTCACTGGGAGCTGAAGTCCTGCGCTGTTCTTAGGCGGCCATCTTCCCAGCATTCCCCCAGAATAATAGGTTTTTTAAATAAAACAGGTACTTTTCATTTCTCCTTGTTCTGTAGGCCCATTTCCCTCACATTATATACTCAGTTTCAGTAGACATTTGAGTTTATTAATTGGGGAACAGATTTTGGCAACTAAAAGAACCAATTCATTCTAATTTTTTATATTTAATAACTGTGACTTTCCACAGTATGCATAATATCAATAAGTTCTATTTCCCTCATCTGTTAAATGGAGATAAAATACTTATTTTCATCAATTATTATGATGATTAAATGAGATAATAAATGTACTTAGTGTAATAGATGGCATATAGTAGCTATTTTATAAGAATTTAAAATTATTTAACATATGTGTATTCAATTGAATAATTCATATGTTAAATTGTAAAGTAAATAAGGTTAGATCATTGGGAGATAAAATAATTAGTACTATGTACTATACTTCTGCCTCAAACAAAATGTTAGGGTTTTTTGTTGTTTTTTACTGTATGTACTTTTTTACTTTTTCAGTTTCTATCATAGAAGCAGGGGTACACATGCAGATTTGTTACAAAAGTATATTGTGTGATGCTGATATCTGGGGTATGACTGAACCTATCACCCAGATAGCATAATACCCAAGAAGTCATTTTATCCCTTATTCCTCCCTCTTCTAGTATTCCGTGGTGTCTATAGTTCCCATCTTTATGTCTGCGTGTACCCAGTGTTTATCTACTACCTGTAAGGGCAGAGATGCAGTATTTGGTTTTCTGTTTTTGCATTAGCTTTCTTCGGATAATGACCTCTTGCTATATCCATGTTGCTGCAAAATACATGATTTTGTTCTTTTTAATGGCTGTATATTATTCCATGGTGTATACGTACCACATTTTCTATATCCAATTCACAATTGATGAGCACCTATGTTGATTTCATGTCTTTGCTATTATGACTGACACTGTGGTGAATGTATGGAATGCATGTGTCCATTTGGTAGAACAATTTATTTTCCTTTGGATATGTAGCCAGGAATGGGATTGCTGAGCCAAATTGTATTTCAACTTTTGGTTCTTTGAGAAATCTCCAAACTACTCTCCAAGTGTTTAGACTAATTTATGTTCCCACCAACACTGTGTACATGTCCCCTTTTCTTCACAGACTTACCATCTGTTTTTTTTTATTTTTTATTTTTTTTATTATAGCCATTCTGGGCCAGGCGTAGTGGCTCATGCCTGAAATTCCAGCACTTTGAGAGGCCAAGATGGCTGGATCACTTGAAATCAGGAGTTTGAAACGAGCCTGGCCAACACGATGAAACCACGTCTCTACTAAAAATACAAAAAAATTAGCTGGGCTTGATGGCATGCACATATAATCCCAGCTACTCTGGAGGCTGAGGCAGGAGAATCACTTGAACCCAGGATATGAAGGTTGCAGTGAGCCAAGATCACACCACTGCACTCCAGCCTGGGCAACAGAGTGAGATTCTGTCTCAAAATAATAATAACAACAACAACAACAACAATAATAATGGCCATTCTGACTGCTGTGAGATAGTATCTCATTGTGGTTTTAAATTGCATTTCTCTGATAATTAGTGATGTGGAGCATTTTTTCATATGTTTCTTGGCCACTCGTTTGTCTTCTTTAGAGAAGTTTTTGTCCTTTGCCTTATTTTATAATGGAGTTATTATTATTATTATTTTTTTGCTTGTTAGTTTAAGTTCCTTATAGATTCTAGACTTTTGTTAGATGCATACTTTGTGAATATTTTCTCTTATTCTGTAGGTTGTCTGTTTACTCTGTTGATAGTTCCTTTTGGTGAGCAAAAGATCTTTAGCTTAAATAGATCCCATTTGTCGATTTTTGTTTTTGTTGTAATTGCTTTTGAAGAGTTAGCCATACTTTCTTTGCCAAGGCTGATACTGAGAAGGGTATTTACTAGGTTTTCTTCTAGGATTGTGGTGGTTTGAAGTCTTACATTTAAATCTTTAATCCATCTTGATTTAATTTTTGTGTATGGTAAAAAGCAAGGGTTTAATGTCATTCTTCTGCATATGGCTTGCCAGCTATCCCAGCATCATTTATTGAGTAGGGAGTCCTTATTGCTTATTTTTTCTGGGTTTGTCAAAGATCAGAGATTGTAGTTATGTGGCTTTATTTCTGAGTTCTCTGTTCTGTTCAATTGATTTATGTGTCTGTTTTTGTCCCAGTACAATGCTCTTTTAGCCATGTCATGTAGTTTCAAGTCGGGTACTATGATGCCATTAGATTTGTTCTTTCTGCTTAAATTGATTTGGCTCTTAGGGTTCTTTTTTATTCGTATGACTTTTAGAATAGTTTCTCCGAATTCTGTCAAAAATGATGTTGGCAGTTTGATAGGAATCCCATGAACCTGTAAATTGCTTTGGGCAGTGTCACCATTTTAATCACATTGACTCTCAATTCATGAGCATGGACTGTTTTTTCATTTATTTGTGCAATTTCTAATTTCTTTTGGCAGTGTATTTGTAGTTCTCCTTGTAGAGAGCTTTCACCTTCTTGGTTACTTGCATTCCTAGGTGTTTCACAAAATGTTGGTTTTTAAAATCAACTATTTTGGCACTCTATTATTATTACAGTTAAAAATGAAGCAGCCTCAGAACTTCCAGATACAGCAGAAAATCCTTCAGCAGTATATCCATCAATTAGCGACTTAATAATTCAATTTGATTTAAACAAAGTGGTTGGTAAGTACAGATTTATGTTTTGATACAGTAGAACACATTCTAAGAATTAAAATATTTCAACTGTACAGTTCTGTTAAAACAACAACAGAAAATTTAAGGAATGAGTAGTCCTTCTCAACTTAGTAAGTTCATTCTACTCAATCTACATGCCAATTAATGTGTATCTTTAAATTACGTATTTATACTCCACTGGCCAACATTAATTATGTAATGTTTCATATATTTCCCTTTGCCTACTTATGAAACAAAATATATACAGGCTTTCCACTATTGTGAATTTTCATAATATAAATTGGATGCTATATGAACGGTGCCTTGAGGACAAAATTGTCATTTCTTTATATATATATATATATATATATATATATATATATATACACACATATATATATATTTATTTATATTTTATGTTTATATTTTATTACACTTTAGGTTCTGGGGTACATGAGAAGAACATGCAGGATTGTTGCATGGGTACATACATGGCAATGTAGTTTGCTGTCTCCATCCCCCCATCACCTACATCTGGCATTTCTCCCCGTGTTATCCCTCCACAACTCCCTACCCGCTGCTGTCCCTCCCCTACTCCCCACCAACAGATCCCAGTGTGTGATGCTCCCCTCCCTGTGTCCATGTGTTCTCATTGTTAAACACCCACCTATGAGTGAGAACATGCAGTGTTTGATTTTCTGTTCTCGTGTCAGTTTGCTGAAAATGATGGTTTCCAGTTTCATCCATGTCCCTACAAAGGACACGAACTCATCGTATTTTATGGCTGCATAGTATTCCATGGGGTATATGTGCCATATTTTCCCGGTCCAGTCTATCATTAAACCAAGAGAGATTAGCCATTTTCAGCTCACTCACAGTGGGACATCTTTTAATCCATATTTCAGCTAACCAAGCAAATAAACCTTTAGAACCTTTTTTTAACTCCCAAGCTGCAACATTAAATGCAGAATCCCTGCTTAGTGGGCCTAAATCAATAAATTAAGCCTGTTTCAACTTTATGTTCCTTCCACCATTATCCTCCACCCTAATATCCATTCCCATGCCTGTGCTCCAGATTTCTGCTTAAATAAATTAGAAAACTCAAACAGTTCTTTTGGAGGGTAGAGCACCTCCATGTGAATTACACTTTGAAGCTCACCTCCAGGGACCTGCCAGGAGCCTAGTTATAGGTCTAGAAGCAAACAGGGTTGTTGGGGGTGGGTCCAGAAAAAAATCAGCATTGTATTGCCTGGCACCTGCCTCAAGGGACACCATCACCGTTACCTCAGGCAGTGCAGGGTTAATTTCCGCAGACAAATGTGGAAAGGCTGATGGCAGTGTAGGTCCTAGATCAGGGAGGAAATGTTGCCACCACTTGGAGTGGGGAGGCTGTTTCTCTGGCAAAAAAAAAAAAGGTTCATCCGAAGTTAGGAGCTCAGTGTCCTCCCATATGTCCCCATTTTAAGTTGCATGGTTCCATTCTTTCCTGTATATATATATACTTTAAGTTCTGGGGCACATGTGCAGATTGTTCAGAATTGTTACATTGGTGTACACATGCCATAGTGGTTTGCTGAATCCATCCTCCCATCATCTATGTTAGGTATTTTTCCTAATGTTATCCTTCCCCAGTAACACCACCCCCTGCTATACCTCCCCTAATTCTCCCACCTCTAGCTCTCCCATCCCCAACAGGCCCCAGTGTGTGATGTTCCCCTCCCTGTGTCCATGTGTTCTCATTGTTCAATGCCCACTTATAAGTGAGAACATGTGGTGTTTGGTTTTCTGTTCTTGAATCAGTTTGCTGAGAATGGTGGTTTCTGGCTTCATCCAAAGTACAATGAACTCATCCTTTTTTATGGCTGCATAGTATTCCATGGTGTATATGTGCCACATTTTCTTTATCCAGTCTGTCATTGATGGGCATTTGGGTTGGTTCCAAGTCTTTGCTATTGTAAACAGTGCCACAATGAATGTACATGTGCATGTGTCTTTATAATAGAGTGATTTATAATCCTTTGAGTATATACCCAGCAATGGGATTTTTGGGTCAAATGATATTTCTAGTTCTACATCATTAAGGAATAGCCACACTGTCTTTTACAATGGTTGAACTAATTTACACTCCCACCAACAGTGTAAAAGCATTCCTATTTCTCTACATCCTTTCCAGCAACTGTTGTCTCCAGATTTTTTAATGATGGCCCTTCTAACTGGTGTGAGATTGTTTCTCAATGTGGTTTTGATGTGCATTTCTCTAATGGCCAGTGATGATGAGCATTTTTTCATATGTTTGTTGGCTGCATAATTGTCTTCTTTTGAAAGGTGTCTGTTCATATCCTTCGCCCACTTTTTGATGGAGTTGTTTGGTTTTTTCTTGTAACTTTAAGTTCTTTGTAGATTCTGGATATTAACCCTTTGTCATATATGTAGATTGCAAAAAATTTTTCCCATTCTGTTGGTTGCCAGTTCGCTCTAATGACAGTTTCTTTTGCTGTGCAGAAGCTCTTTAGTTTAATTATATCCCATTTGTCTATTTTGACTTTTGTTGTCATTGCTTTTGGTATTTTAGTTATGAAGTCTTTGCCTATGCCTATGTCCTGCATGGTATTGCCTAGGTTTTCTTCTAGGGTGTTTATTTAGGTCTTATGTTTAAATCTTATTCTTTTCCAATCAATGTCCTCACTTTAACAATAGATACCCGGTGAGGCTGGGCATGCACATTTTGTTGCAGGTCAACCACTCACAGGATAAGAGCTTGCATGTCATTTTCTACAATTTTGGTGTGGGGCGGGGGGGGGGGTTCTATGGGAGGTAAGACTCTCACTTAGGGCAATCTTAGAAGATATGAGGTTCAGTATGTGCTTCTATAGCTAGGAGATATACTCCCTGAGTTCATTTTGCTTTATCAAATTGTCTAGTGAACTCAGGATCAACCAACCAACTTCATTACATTCCTTGGTTCTCCAAGTATGGTCAAAGGTATTATGTATAGGGTTACTAAACTCCTTGCCTCTCACTAGCAATGAATCAGGAGTGTCAAATACATTTATTTTGCATTAACTCTCCAAACAGTTCACACAAAGAGCTCTCAGTGTTCTCCATACTACTAAAAGTAGAGTCCTTAGCACTTTTGGGTCTTATTTTATTAAGTGGGCAACTCCAGAAACCCCAAAACCAGCTAAAATACTAAATAGCCAACTAAAAATCTCCATCCTTAAAATTCTGTATCTCTAGAGCCACTCCCAGTACCAAAATCTGAATTAGGTTTCTCTAGATGGCAGGACTAATAAGATAAAATAGGTGAACTAATATAGATGAAAGGGAGTTTATTAAGGAGTATTGACTCACCGAATCAAAAGATGACGTTCCTCGGTATGCTGTCTGCAAACTGAGGAGCAAAAAGAAAAAAAGCCAGTCCTGTTTCTAAAACCTCAAAAATAAGGAAGCTGACAGTGCAGCTGGAGGCCTGAGAGCCCCTGGAAAACCACCAGTGTAGGTCCAAGAGTCCAATAGCTGAAGAACTTGGAGTCTGATGTTCGAGGGCAGGAAGCACTCAGCATGGGAGAAAAATGTAGGCTGGAAGGCTAAGCGAATTTAGTCTTTTCACATTCTTGTGCCTACTTTTATTCTGGCTGTGCTGGCAGCTGATTAGATTCTGCCCTCCCAGATTGAGGGTGGGTCTGCCTCTCCTAGTCCACTGACTCAAATGTTAATTTCCTTTAGCAACACCTTCACAGAAACTCCCAGGAACAATACTTTGCATCCTTCAATCCAATCACATTGACACTCAGTATTAACGATCACAGATACACTGTCTTTAAGAAATAAGATCAGTTCATGTACCCCAGAACTTAAACTACATTTTTTTTTAAAAAAAGATGAAATGTTAAATACACTCAGGTTGAAAAGAAAAGAAAACAGTTGTTAAAAAAAAAAGTAGGAAAAATACAGTGTAACCAATTGATTTTTTGTAAATCTTAAACCAGCTTTGTATAGAAAATGATGTTATTTTGTTACATTACTTTGTTTTTCCTGTAGAAATAAGAACTTAATTTTTACCTATGAAGCACTCATCTCATTTCACTAGAGCCTTTGTCTCCTGGATAACTATTTCTAGTTTTCACTTGAAGAAATGCTCTAAAACTGGGGGGAAAAAAATAAACAAGATAGAAATTTCTGTAGCAGCATAAGAATCTACATTTTTTAAGTGTACCTGGAACATTTATTAAAATAGATTATTTGTTTTAAACAAATAATAAAATTGACAAACTTCTGATGAGAGGGAACAATAGAGAGAGAAGATACAATTTACTAGTATTATGAATAAAAAAGTGGAATATTTCATACCCTACAGATATTAAAATATTTATTATAAATTTATGTCAGTAAATTTGAAAATTTTGATTAAATGAACCAATTTTTAGATAATCACCACCAAAGGTAACATAAAAGTAGAATATCAAATTAAAATGGTCCTAAGTTTATTAAAGACATAGAATTTTTAAATTTTAAGCTTTTCTATAAATAAATTTTAGTTCTGGGCAACTTTAGTGGTAATTTTTCAAACACCTCTTGAAGAAATCGTTCTAAACTAGAAAATTTCTTCTAGAGACTAGAAAATAACACTTCTCAACTAATTTTATAAAGTAAGCTTCTCTTTGATACTAATCCCTAGCAATGACATTATATTACAGAAAAATATAGGAAAAATTTGTAACGAATATAGACTCAAATATTCATATTTACTTTTTAAGTTAGCAAATAATGTCTTGTGATATATAAAAAGAAAAACATATAACTATTCTAGGTTTGTTCCATGAGTGGCAATTTAGATTAACATTAGATTTTTTACAGATTATTTATTTTATTGCTAATAATGTTTCATATTTATGAGGTACATGTGATATTTTGATACAGACATACAACGTGTAATGATCAAATCAAGGTAATTGTGATATCCATCACCTCAAACATTTATCTTTTCTTTAAGCACATATCAAATCTCT